CGTGTACCTTTTCAATTTCTTTGCAACCCTAGACCACTGAAATTCTCCTATNCATGCCGTAAGCTTTCATCTGAGTTGTGCAGGACTAGACAGTAAAACATTCAACAACTTTCCTTATTCGTATCAGTCATCGAGTACTGAGCGGCTAACAAGTGATGATAACGTTAACTTATGAAACTTATGTCACCGAAATGCCTCAGAAGCACTGTGAAATTGTTCCATNTAGACGCTACACAGGACTCGAACCGGGACACATCATCACTGATCGACCTGGACTGACTTCTATGCTTCGTTTCATACACACACACACACACACACATCTACTCTAATCTGTGATGGATTACCATCAATGTTCACACCAATGACAGTGACGAATCGGTAACATGTGAATGTAGTGTTCATATAAAGTCAACCGCTGGAGCCAACCGGGGTAGCTGCTGGCTTGAAACTGTATTTAATTAGCTACCCTCTTAGGGTTTATTCAATAATTTGCTTTGTTACTTTCAGTCAAACTTAAGACCACTTTGTACATTCAATCCTCCTTTTCTTAACCTCAGCCCCGGTTCGATACACACACACACACACACACACACAGGACATGAAGCGAAAAGCATAAAATACTGATGTTAAACACCATGTACACCACTTTCGCCTGAGATTTCTCTCCCTTCTTCTGTCGACCCTTTTGGGGATTCATATTACTATCATCTGTGCTGTTTAGCGCCTCACCTATGTCACTCTGTTACGTGTTTCATACCACTAGCTCCCCACTCCTCCCTCCCCATGCCCACTCAACCCCATCCCCACTCACCGCTCCGCTCGGTTCGATTGAACAGTTTAAAACGGGGTCTCATAGATCAATAATTGCGATATCTATCCAACCACTGTGAGGTTTATGCATACAGGCATAAATTGGTCGGTTATTCTTCCGCTTGACTGGCCTGGACACGGGTCAAATACAATAACGACCCGAGAGCGAAGTTCACAATGCACCACACTAGCATCATCGATGCACACAAAACCAGTTTCCATCGTACACGGTCTTATTCTCGTCCATGTTGCCTCGGCTTGTTGTCACCTCGCAGGAGAAAAAAAAGACCATGCATGAAACATGACTTATGGTTCACAGATTCATCCCGGTCGAATCTACTAACATCCTCGCACGCCCAGCCCAATCGTGTAACCTTAATGATCTTCTGTCGTTGGGGTCAAACCAATGCATGTTTGTGGATGTGCGCGCGTGTGTGCTCGCGTGCACATAGTAGTGTGTGGTTGTGGGAGTCCCGGACCCCGAGAGGCCTCGATTCTCACCATTTTATCCAACACAACCCCTAGTGGGCGTGAAGTGCCGTGAAACAACTTTAAAGTGACCACTATACCACTGTACAAGCAGCATGAATTGATGGAACGAAAACGCATATGTTGACTAGTTTCCCCGCTGTGACTCTCTCTCTCTCACTCACTTTGGCCGCTAACGTGCATGCAATCCTGGAGACAGTCGAGTAAGAACACAATCTGGAGAAAGGGTAGAGTAAGCTGTAATACTCTGCTTGCCCTGCTAGGTCGAAGGTCATCAGGCATCACCACGTTTGTCTTCATTTCACGCCCCGTTTCCTACCCACCCACCTACCCCTACTCTCGGCTCGTTGTCAAGTTCGGAACAGCAGAGGAAAGCTTGGTTACTCATGCCAGGTCATACACTAGCACACACACACACACACACACACACACATCTTTGTACCACTAGCAAATTGAAACTTTCTTTCACACCGGCTCGGACGGTTTGATTGATGGTAACTGAGCGATAAACCACGGCTGGCGAACGGCAGACATCTTGCGTTTGATTCGACAAGTGTTCCACCTCTGGTCGGGCAATTTTATTCCGCCTATTGTCTATATCCAAACAGGGGTCTTGTACTTGAATGTGTGTGTGTATGTGTGTGTGCGCGCGCGCGCGCGTTTAACTATTTGATCCGTTGTTAAGGTGAGACCCCACCGCAGACCAAACGGAATGGAATGGATCAAACAAAGTTCGGGACGGTGTGGAGAAGTGCCGTAGTGCCGAATCTCGCCAGAATCAACTGAGATTTTCAAACATTAATTTTGTGCGTGTGTGTGTAATCACGTGACGAACTAGAAGGAGACGAAATTAGCGACGAAACAAACATAATGAAGGACTGGATATTCGATCAAGACACGAGTGTAACGGTGACACCAGACATCTACAATTGACTGTTTTCCAATTATTCGCCCATTTAGTCCCGGTCGTCCGGATGGGTTTTAACTGAGGATCAGAACTATTTGTTTTCGTTTTCTTAAGAACTATCACAAATTTCAAAGAGGGAATTCGTTGGATACAGCGCAAATGAAGCGTGAACGGAAAAGCTAGGAAGTACTAATGTACAGCTGTTTTGACCTGGTTGTCAAAGTTTCCAACCCAGACAATCCAGGGAGGCTAGTGCTGAGATGAATGTGGACCGATACTGGAACAGATGAGTTGTGCTATGTCGTGTAAATGGAAGATGTAAATCGGTCTGATCAGCTGCTCCGGGGTGGTCGAGTGAGTAGCATGATTACATTCTGCTGTTGAGGTCCAAGGTTCGATTCCCAGATGGGCCCGTGGATTCGCACTGCTGATGAGACTCAACCAGGTCGAAACAGCTGTTCGGTACTTCCTAGCTTTTCTGTTCACACTTCATTTACTTTATACACGACTAATTCCATCTTAGAAATTTATTCAAATCCTCCATTACTCTTTCTAATCTCAAATTGAAATCAACATTCTGTCATTGTATAAAAACGAAAACAGCCCCTTGATCACCGTGCACGGAATATCGGAAACCGGAATAGGCAATCTGGAATTATTGACGGTCATCCACACTCGAATTTGATCAATTCTTTTCTAAGGATGAAGGAAATTACAGCAAACAAACAATCCACATTATTCGTCTACGATGAAGCTCCGGGAAAACCAGTCTATCAAACCAACAACCGTTTGTTAGCACTTATTCACCTGGACAGTTTGATCGCAGACTTGTTTTTGTTATTGTTTGCACAGTAGTATTTTCATAGATCTCTTCACACACACACACACACACACACACACACACAACAGTTTTGCACCGACTTTCCATTGATCCGCCTTGTCTATTCGGATCGTGCTAAGCGTGAAATTGCATTTTTGTTGAATTTGCGGTTTACAGTGACTACTGCCCTCTCAGTTTGACCTCAGACCTTGCCAGCCCCGGATGGATTGTTCTTGTTCATGTTTGACACTTTCTTGACCTCTCTGACGATGATGATCATTACTCGAACGATGATGACTCGGATGATGATGATGATGATGATGAGGAGAATGGAATATGGACATACCTGTTCAGTTTATGGGCATTTGTCGATAAATAAAACGTGCACATACATACGCGCTCATATGGTCAGGCTAATTATGCACACGGATCGATGTTTTGGTCATAGAGTGACAATATTTTAATGCAAAATTAAAAGGGATCATCCACCAGATAGATCAATTCAAAGGTTTGTTGTTCGTCTTTATAGGGAGAAAACCCAACTAAGTTCCCGGTAGGTGAGTAGAGTAGCAAATCATGTGTTGTATGCGACTGGACGCCAGGGTAACTATTCACCATCAAATTTTGGACGATGGAACACCACTTCGTATACTGGTACTGAGTAGCACCGTTTTGCTTTGCACGGATAAGAAAATATTGTGCAGATCCCCCGTGCACACCGGCTGATTATCATCATATTCAGGAGCAGTGTACAGGTGATAGAATTTTTTGTGCAGTCTACTTTTTACAACGATATTCTCGATATTTTTTGTCAATTTGTTCACTAAACCAGGCTCTGAGGGATGAGCGAAAATGGGACAAATCGCAGGTAGCGCAGTTCCTATCAAAAAGTTTTGAGAGCAAGAGAGAGAGAGCGCGCGCTCGGGCTCGTGCGTGCTCGCGTGCGAGCGTTTTACATT